GTGAGGCCAGTATTTGTACAGATAGCAGTGTGCAAACTGTAAATTTCTTTGTTGTTGGCAAGAGACATTACTTAGCACCTCTTAGCCCTTGGCACATATGGCAATGATAGCGTGGTCACTTTTTATTGTCTTTGTCCCGTCTTTATCCCTAGTGCTTACCCAAAGGCTTGGGCATATAGAAGGTTCCCAATAAATGTTGGTTGAACATGCCATCCAGGGAATTTAGGAGGATTGAGCCTTGTCTAGAATCAGAGATAAAAGTAGGTCTTTAAGGGGAAAGGGTTCTTGAGAGGCAGTAAGCAGCAAAGAGGTGCTTACTGCATTCATTCTCTTCCAGGCAGTAGAACGAGTCCTGTACCCACACTTGTCCACTTACTGGACAAACCTGCAAGCTGTGCTGGATGATTATTCGGTATCTAATGCCCAGGTCAAAGCAGATGGGCACAAAGTCTATGGAGCCATTCTGGTGAGTACCAGCCCCTTCCCTAGTTGAGCTCAGCAACTCAGCAGGCTTATTTTGGAATAATTGGTGGGCCTAGGTTCCTCCCAGTTCTTGTCTGTCCTAGTCCACTGCTCTTATAGGTGGCCGTAGAGCGACTGCTGAAGATGAAGGCCCAGGCAGCAGAGCCCAACAGGAGTGGCCAAAGCGGCAGGGGGTGCCGGCGTCCCGACGACCTGCCTTGGGACAGCCTTCTCCTTCAAGAGTCTCCCTCCGGGGGTGGTGCAGAGCCAGGCTTTGGGTCTGGACTCCCGCTGCCACCAGGGGGCGCGGGGCCGGAGGACCCTTCTCCTTCGGTGACCCTGGCGGACATCTACCGGGAGCTCTATGCCTTCTTCGGTGACAGTCTGGCAACTCGCTTTGGCACAGGCCAGCCCGCGCCCACGGCCCCGCGGCCGCCCGGAGACAAGAAGGAGCCGGCGGCCGCCCCGGACTCGGTGCGGAAGATGCCCCAGCTGACCGCCAGCGCCATGGTCAGCCCGCAGGGCGACGAGAGCCCTCGAGGAGGCGGCGGCGGTCCCCCGTCGGCTTCCGCACCCGCCGCCTCTGAGAGCAGGCCGCTGCCGCGCGTGCACCGGGCGCGGGGGGCGCCCCGGCAGCAGGGTCCCGGCGCCGGCACCCGCGACGTCTTCCAGAAGAGCCGCTTCGCCCCGCGCGGCGCCCCCCACTTCCGGTTCATCATCGCCGGGCGGCAGGCCGGGAGGCGCTGCCGCGGGCGCCTTTTCCAGACTGCCTTCCCCGCGCCGTACGGGCCCAGTCCGGCCTCCCGCTACGTGCAGAAGCTGCCCATGATCGGCCGCACCGGCCGCCCCGCCCGCCGCTGGGCGCTCTCGGACTACTCGCTGTATCTGCCGCTGTGAGCAGCGTGCGCCCCGCCCCTGTAAATAAAGCCCGCCCGGAAGTGACGTGTCCGCACTCGTGGGTCGCGCCGGATGAGGCGGGGCTTGGGCGGTTGGTTCCTGCGGCGGCGCTTCCTGGTAGCTGGGGCGCCATGGCGCTTCCCTGGCTGCAGCGCGTTGAGCTCGTGCTCTTCGCTGCCGCCTTCCTATGCGGGGCCGTGGCGGCCGCGGCGCTGACCCGGACCCAGGTGCGGCTGCGGGGCGGGGCCAGCCTGGGAGCCGGGACGGGTAGGCTGGGGGGCTGGCTGATCCTGACTTGGAGAAGCCACTGCCGCTTTTTGGCCCTGCTTGCTGCTGCTAGGAGTTGTGAGGCCTGGCGGGCGCTAGCCTGCAGCTGGTCCGCCCGACCTGGTCATACTTCGAAGTCGTTCGTTCTTCAAAGGGACAAGTTGTCAGGAATGTGGTACAGCACCAGACAGTCGGGCCTGGTGGCTCCCGCTGCATAACCTTACCCTGGTTATGAAACAGAAGTTGGCCCAGGCCCTGCCTTCATCTGTTAAATCAGAATCCCTTGTGTTTAGCTATGCCGAGGAGTAAAGTATAGGGGAGAGATGATTGATTAAGCCACCACATGATTGCAACACGTGTTAAATGACAAAATAGCGATGTAGAAAACGCTTCCGTAAAGGCAGAAGCCAGTAATTTACATTGAATGTTTACTCCAGCCAGCCAGTCTTGTTAATAAACACGTGTTGATTTAATCCCCATAAAGTAAGCACTAGTATACCTATTTTGCAGATTAGGAAACATCGGAGATAGTTACTTGTTGAAGGTTACACAAGATCTGAATTTACTGTAGGATTTCTGCGGAGGGGAGACCGGAACTTGTGAAGCTTCTATTAAAGCCTATTTCCTGATCCTTCTGGCCACTGCAGCTGTGATTCCCCAAAGGGCCCTCTCATCCAATCTTCCTGTCCCCTAAGTAGGAATTGACAAGGCACAAATAACTTAGAGTGGTGCTGGCCTACGTTATCCCTAACACTTGCCATGAGCCTGCGTCCTGAAATCTAGGACTTAGCAGCTTTTCTTCACAGGGTTCCTTCAGGGGCAGCTGTCCACTGTATGGTGTGGCTGCCCTGAATGGCTCCTCCCTGGCCTTATCCCAACCGTCAGCCCCATCCCTCTGCTACTTTGTAGCTGGGGCCTCCGGTCTCCTGGCCCTCTACTGCCTCCTGCTTCTGCTCTTCTGGGTCTACAGCAGCTTCATCGAGGACTCCCACAGGTGACTGCCCCACCCTGAGGGTAAAGGGCTAAGGTGGATGTGTCCCATTTCTGCCACAAGGCTTGCTCTTTCCTCCCACAGAGGTCCTGTAGGGCTCCGCATTGCACTGGTCATCTCAGCTATAGCCATCTTCCTGATCTTAGTGTCTGCCTGTATCCTTCGATTTGGCACCAGTTCCCTCTGCAACTCCATCGTCTCCCTGAACAATACAATTAGGTAATGGCAGAGGGAGGGAAGCCTGACTGGGATTGTCTACCTTCCCTCTGCGGAGTGGGCCCTGTAACTTCTCTTTTTATCCCCACCAGTTGCTCTCATCTAAAAGGGTACCTGGGCACAGGTGTGTATATCCCTTTTCTCAAAACTGTCTCTTTGATCTCACAGCTGCTCTGAAGCCCAGAAAATTCCATGGACACCCCCTGGAACAGCTCTGCAGTTTTACTCCAACCTACACAATGCTGAAGTGAGGCCCTGAGATATGAAAGACTGGGTGGAGACCCAGAGATACACAGATATTCATTTTAAGTATTTGTACTGTAAAGGTCCTCACCTGTGTTATTATGGGCTTGGCCTACCAGTAAGAGACTGAGAGCAGCTTAGGGGCTTGTCAGCCTGACACCAAACAGATAAGAAAGGTGTGGGTGGGACAGACTGGATCTGAGATAACCCCATTCCTCACACTCCTGTTCCTGTCTCCCACAGACCTCTTCTTGGGTGAATTTGGTACTGTGGTGTGTGGTCTTGGTGCTCCAGGTCATGCAGTGGAAGTCTGAAGCTACCCCATACCGGCCTCTGGAGAGGGGGGACCCTGAGTGGAGCTCTGAGACAGATGCTCTCGTTGGGCCACGACTTTCCCATTCCTGAAAAGTAACCAGAGCGCTTCCTGCAGCCAAAGACTCCGAGCCCAAGTGCCTGCAATCCTCTTGCCCCCACATTGCCCCATTTATGCTGGGAGCCTCCATTTTCCCTCCACGAGGGAAACATGACAGGCCCCTCCCTCTACCTCTCTTCCCATAGCTGTTTTTGTACCAAAGTATTATATTACTTTCTTCATCTTGGTACTGAGTTCTTGATATTAAATCAAGTAGATGGGAGGAAGGAGGAAAAGCTAAACAAACATGGATGGAAATTTAGATGTACTGTCAGGCAGCAGCCCTTGCTTAGAATGACTGCTCCTTTATTCGTTGTTAATGAGTCTTGGGCCCCTTGCATGAGCCTGGTTGTCACCCCATCCCTCGGGTTTAGTTTTTGTCCCCCTCTGGGAGAGGCAAGTGACCTGAGGTGGTTTCTTCACAAGCTCCGGTAGGCACCCACGGTATTGTCAAAGAGTTTGGTGTTGGGGAAGTGTCCAGCTTTGTCCAAGAGGAAATAGAAGCGCCGGCCTTTGACCTTCAGAGGCAACATGGCAGGGACTTCACCCCGGTGGGCCATGCAGGATACCTGGTTCAAGGGAACAGTGAAACGGGCCCCCAAGCCGAAGGGGGCGTGAGTGGTGAGGGTCACCTGTTGTCCTCCAGCTCGAAGCATCACTGAGCGCACAGAACGGAGGGAGAAGAGAAGACCGGCACCAAGTACCAGGGCTCCTGCAGTAAGAGCAAAGTTTGGGGTGAGGGGTTTTCACTGGAGGGCTAAGCACCTTCCAGTGCCCCCGAATAAATGATTGTGTTGACAGTTAACATCTACTAAGCGCCTCTTACACCCCAGAATCTTTAGTTATTCCTCTCCACAACCTTAACAGACATCTAGGCTGTAGAGTGTGTGGGGGGCAGACCTTGGCCGAGGACTGGGTGAGGGGGCATGACATTCGGGGCCTTCAGAGTTCCGAAGTATGGGGGTAGCCCTCCCGCCACTTCTGCTCGTCTGAGACAGGGAGCCCCTTACTCCCTGAGTAGGGAGAGTCGCGCCCAGCCAGCCCACGCCTTACCGATGGCGCCGCAGCCGACCGCCAGCCCGTAGCGCCAGAGCGCGGAGCGCAGGTCGAAGCGGCCACCAGCCGGGGCCTCCGAGTCCCGAGGCTGCACAGGGACAGGGGGCCGGGACAACGTTCCCACGGCCAGGGAGGCCCAGAAGACGCCCTGGCCGGCGCAGAAAAGCCCGAGGACCGCGAAGAAGCGGCCCCGTTCATGCTCGAACAGTAGCACGTCCCGTGATGGGGTCGCGTCGTACAGGAACCGGCGCGTGAACAGAGGCCGCAGCATGACCGGCAGCCCCGTGGGCCAACGGAGCCACAGCGCCGCCATGCCCAGCGCCAGCCCACTTCCGGGGCGGGACTTCCGGCGCTGCTTCCCCGCCCCTCAGGCTCACCGGCCGCGGGAGCACCCTGCTGGGTAGGCCCGCCCTCCCGCTCAGGCCCGAGAAAAGATCCAGCACGCATGACGCGAAATACAATGTCACTCTTTATCTTAAAAAGTAAGGAGGATGGGGGTTAAGTACACAAAGCACCTAAGTCCTTCGGGTAGTTTAGTGTCAGTTCTACAAAGTAAGCTTTGGCTTCCTGGCACCAGTGAGGCTCAATCTTCTGGAAGTCTTCCAGAAGGCAGATGAGGAGAGGGATCCAGCAGCTCTCCCTCCTCGGTCACAGTCACAGGGTGGCCTCAGGCCGGATAGGGGAGACGAAGATGATAACCAGACAATAATATCCAAGGGATATTTACAGGAGGGCTTCTTCTGAGGCATGACTACGGATCACTTCATGAACGCCACTTCTGGGATCTCGCCCTTGGCCTGGAGAAAATGAAAGGTCAGTAGAGGCAGCTGGCCCCCAAAACTTACTCTACCCTGTTAAAGGCACAGAAAAGCCCAGTCTCTTTTCCACTGTATTCTCAAATCTTACCTTGAGATGAGTGAAGACCTGGGCAGATCTGGTGTAGTCCCAGTTGTTGTCCTGAAGGCACCTGGAGTGGGGGAACAACAGGGAGCTCCGTGAGAACCATCCACTAAATGCCACTTAAAAATCCCTTCTATAGAAACACTCACCCAGATCTGCCAACAATTACATACATTCTTATACATCCTTGCACTATTTATACAAATGAAAAATTAGTAAAAGTCTTAATTGTCTACCAATAGTCTGTCAAATATAAGGAATATTAAATAAATGTCAAGATCAGTTTTTTATACTGGTAGGGAAAGATATTCATAGTATATAGCAAAGAAACTAAGTTGCAGGACAGTATATCATAAAAAGGAATTTCAGGCAGGATTGCTTGAGGCCAGGAGTTTGAGCTCAGCCTGAGCAACACAGTGAGACCCACCCATTTCTACAAAATTAGCTGGGTGTGGTGGCAGCATGTGCCTATACTCCCAGCTACTTGGGAGCCTGAGGCAGGAGGACTGCTTCTGCCCAGGAGTTTGAGGTGGTAGTGAGCTATGACAACTCCACTGTACTCTAGCCTGGGCAAGAGAGCAAGACTCTGTCTCAAAAAATAAAAGGGAACTTCATTTTGGCTTTAAAATTTTTTATGCTAGGCCGGGCGCGGTGGCTCACGCCTGTAATCCTAGCACTCTGGGAGGCTGAGGCGGGTGGATTGTTTGAGCTCAGGAGTTTCAGACCAGCCTGAGCAAGAGTGAGACCCCGCCTCAACTAAAAATAAAAAGAAATTAATCGGAGGACTAAAAATATATACAAAAAATTAGCCGGGCACGGTGGCGCATGCTTGTAGTCCCAGCTACTCGGGAGGCTGAGGCAGGAGGATCGCTTGATCCCAGGAGTTTGAGGTTGCTGTCAGCTAGGCTGACACCACGGCACTCACTCCAGCCCGGGCAAAAGAGTGAGACTCTGTCTCAAAAAAAAAAAAAAAAAAAAAAAATTATGCTAATTTATGCACAGGGTAAATTTTCTATGGACTATTTTTTTTTTAAGCAACAAAAAAAGTTTTGGCTTTTTCAAAATTTCAGCACTCGTTATTCACTACCAGCCCCACCTCAGTTCATCCCTGTCCTACACATGCCCAGCACTCACTTCTGGGACCACTCGAGGTTCATGCCAGACTGGGTAGAGAATGCCTGCAACATTTCCTGCTGCTCCGGGGAGAGGGTGGGCACTGGGCTGGAAGAAGGCGTGGGTGCAGGCATGGCGAAGGCTCTTTGGATCTCTTCAGAGCTGGCATTCCGCACAAAGAGCTCATCGTTTACAATACAGAGCCTTGGGGACAAAGAGCACCTTAAACAGCTGGACAGACAGATGACTTCATCCTCTGAACACCATTCCTATTCTGACACCTGACACTCAGATTCTTTCAATACCCACAAGTCCCCCTCCCACTCTTAATTATTATCTTTTATCATTTACCCCCTCCCATGGACTCTATGTTTGGAAGGATTATCTACCAAACATGTTAGAATTATGCATGCTCCCCCAACCCATGGACAGTTCTTAACCCTTTTATCTTTTATTTATTTTCACAACCAACTTAGGAAGTGAATATTGTAATACACATTTTCAGATGAGGAAACGTGCATGCAGCTAGAAGTGGTGGAGCCAGGATGAACACCCAGATGGTCCAACTCCAGAGCCAAGCTCTGAACTACTATGTGAGCCTCCTCCTCTCATTTCCCATTGCCTTTGTGAAAGTGCCCCGAGGACTGACCCTACCCTCCAGTTACCACACTGCTGGCCATGGACTGGGACTCAACGTGGTAAGCAGAACACTAACCCTGAATTGCTGGCAGGAACAGCAATGAACGTCCGGGTGAAGGCTCGCAGAGAATCCCGAGACTTTCCATCCACTGCAATGAGAACAACAGCAGTGACCCCTTAGAGTTGCTCATGTTTTATGTTTACAAACAGCTTCTTGAATCGTGGTCTTCTTTCATAAAAAGAATCCTAATGGGTCAGACAGGGAAGATTACGTTTGTAAGAGGAGCAGAGTTGGGTGAACGGTCAGGTCAGAGGGGACGATAATAGTTAACAACTACTGACCCACTGATAGAGCACTTGTGTGCCAGGCCCTGGTGTCAAGCATTTTATAAGTCACTTCATCTACTTCCTCCAGCTCCACTATGAGATGGCTGTTACTAATCCAATCTTGCAAATAAAGAATCTGAGACTCAGAGGTAACGTAACTTGCCCATAGACACACAGAACTGAGATTGAGATAGAAACTCGGGCCTGCCTGACTTCAAAATCTGTGTCCTCCTAATCCCCAGGGTTTTCCCATATCCCAGACAGGACAGAGGGTAGGCCAAACCAAAGTAGCATGGAGGCAGGATGAGAGAAGGTGCTCAGGAAAAGGGAAGAGAAGCTAGCTGGGAAGCTAAGCATGCTGAGAAAGATTCTAGCTGGCGGAGGGACCATACAAACTCAGGACTCGAGAGATTCTCACCTTCCTTGAAGACCCCATTGACAGAAAAACACAGCAATGTGCTCTGAAAGAGAAGCGGCATCAGGTACAATGTAGGCTTCCCAGCCAGAGCCTGAGCCCCCCCTGCCTCTTAAATACCAGCTGCACCCCGATTCTAGGCTTTTTGTTCCTCGATGATCTGTCTTGTGTTGTTAATTTTTCTGTAAATTTCCAACCATTTTTATATTAATAGTTTTTTTTTTTTTTTTTATTCAGTCCCCATAGGGACTGTCAAAAATTGCCAATGCCAACTATATTGCAAGTCGTCATGGCGGGATATTGGGAAGAGTTTTCAATTAGCAATAATCGTGTCTCGGATAAACCTCATTGGCTACGATACTGCCACTGTGCAAAGCTGATTCTAGGCTTCTGTTAGGGCAGAAATAGGTGCTTACTGTCTGGGCGCTTATGTCTACCACGAAGGAATTGATGTCATGCTGGGTTTTGGGTAATTCGTTGAGGAAGGCAACAACATTGAGTCGTGTGTGCTTCAGCAGCCGGAACCGCAGGGCTGTGGGTAGAGGAGAAAGCAAGTTGGGATCTGCCACGCACTCCTGAGCTCTATGACCGATTCCTTCCCATCCCCTTCTCCCATCCTGTTTTGCTCACATCACACACTTACTAGGGTCTTTAAGCTTCTTCACATTTCTGCTGTCCTTGAAGTACTCGGCCAAGTTGCTTCTGGGGAAATAAGAGGAGAAGGAGGTGGTGGTCAGAGAAGTGTGCTTGCTGGGAGGTGCTGGCCTGTATCTACTGGGAAACCCTGTGGTCCCGGGCAGGTTCTGGGATGTGATACACACCGGGCAGGATTCTGGGGTATGAAAGGAATGCTCAGGGAACAGCAGGCCCCATCATGGTAGGCATCCAGGAGCCCCTGCCGGTCTCCAGAGTCATAAATTGCATAGTACCTATGGGGAGAACAAAAAGGGAAAGTCTGAGGCTCTGCAGTCAGGAGCCATAAAGGGACCCAGAAGCTTCTAAGAGTGAGCTGTGCCTGGACCAACCCACCTCTTCCCAGCCTGAGGTGCCTTGGGATACTTACTGCTGCAGGAAGTGCAGGACCAGACTCTTCAGGTTCTCTGTTCCAAAATAGCTTCCCTGGAATCAAACAGGTATTAGGACTATGAAAGCAGTACCTCCCCACACACAAGTTCTGTGTCCCCCTTCTCACCTTGCAGGGCGGTAACATCGTGGGGGCTTCAACGTCAAAGGCAATTGGTGGGGGTAACTCATGCCCATCCTGTGGAAAGGAAGTGAAAGCTGACAGTGTAAACCAGAGAAAAAAAGACTGCATGTGTAAGTAGACTGAAGATCTAAAAATGAAAGGTCAGAAGTCAAGTGTAAAAGAGACATGAAAAGTGTCTGCAACTTTTGCCTGCAAGCATTTTTCTGGGAAGACAGATTATAGCCTTTATCAGATTCTCAAAGGGATCCATGTCCCCAAGTTAATGGTCACATAAAAATAAGTTAGGCAAGACTTGGAGAGTGAAAGATGCTATGGTTGTTAGAAGAGAATGAAAATGTCATGGACTCACCAGGCGTAATAACTTGGGAAATCGTTCTCGAATGGCGCTGTCAAGAACGGGACAGAAGTGAGTGATGCTTCAGAGCCACCGTGCCTCCTGGGCTGCTCTAGAGCAAATATACTAACACCTGAGGGACAGCCCATCCCATCCTGCTCATCCCTCCACTCCTCCCCAGCCTGTGCTCAGGGAGAAATGGCCCCCACTCCCCACCTCACCCGGGGCACCCAGACACGGACTGCCTTGAAGGCTGACCGTCTCTTTTCTCTCTGCCTGACCCCGAGTGCTGCAAGGAGCAGCACTCTCAGCCCAGGCTTTAAGCCCAGGACCTCCTTCCCCTCCCTGCCCCCCTTACCTTCCACCTACTCACCTGTGCAGCCCCGGGAGGAGGGAATGGGGTGGGAGCCCAGGGGCTCCGCTGCCTCACCAGGTATCCATCTGTTCTGCCAGGTCTGGCCTTGGCCAAGACCAGAACACACCACAGGGATGGCACAGGATGTTGGGGCAGGGAGATGAGCAAGGTGGGGCTTAGGAAGAGGAGAAGCAAAGAAAGAAAAGGAAAAGAAGAGAAAGAGAAATAGGAGAGGGCAGGGGCAAGGGAGAGATGGGGGAGTTGAGAGGAAAGGAAAGAGGAAGCAAAGAAAAAGGAAGCGAACTACAAGGCAAGAAGGCATTTAGAAAAACGAGGGAAATAAGGGAGGAGGACACCCTGACACAGCCCTTTCCTTCAGCTGCCCCACCCCTATGGTCCAAGGTAGAAATGGGGAACAAATCCTTGCTGCAGTGAGCAGGAAGTTGCTGTTGGCCAGGTCTGTCTGCTACCTGGGTCCCGGTCTGAGCTGGGCGTGGGAAGCAAAGCAGCCATGGGGGCAGGAGACCTCCCTCAGAAGGGGTGAGGGTTCAGGCCCCTGCAAGGTTGGGGGGGTGAGGGTCTGTGCCCCACCTCTGTTGGCCCCCAAGTTCTCTCCTGATGGCCCCTCTGCGACTGTGCCTGTCTTAGGTTGTTCCTTCCCTGAGGAATCTTACCCGTCTCTGGCTAACCAGCCATCCTCCGGGGCCAAACAGGGTGATGTGAGGTGTGAGTGAGGGAGGGGCAGTGCCCCCGAGAGGGTCAGTTCTCTGTCTCCTTAGTAGCCTATGCCCCCGTGGCCTCCACGCCCAGCACTTGCCTTGGGACTCTCTCGCCTGCTGGCGGGGCCCCGGCTCTGGTCACATGTCTTGGGGAACCCAGGTTTCTTCTCCAGGGAGGGCCCAGCTCATAGCACTGAGCAAGGGAGACAGATTGCATGGCACCAGCCCCCAGGAGGCCTCAACCTCAGCATGGGCAGAAGAGCCCAGGCAACAGCCTTGGGCAAGTGGATCATGAAGAAAGGGTCCCTCTTGGCATAAAGGCAAGAGGGTCATCAGAGTACAAAGGAAGGAAGGCTCATCTCACAGTCCCAGGTAGGAAGGGCTTTCTCAGCCCAAGGACGCCAGGCTCTTGGTACAAGGCAACCCCATGTATGGGGCATATAAAACACCCCTTGGTCAGAATCGAAAAAGGGAGATGTCCTTCCTGGAACAATAGGGTAGGGACATTCTAGAAAAGGCTGTGTTCAGGAAAGAAGGAGAAAGACCACAGAACCAGTAAGTAGTCAAGTGAGAAGAAAGAAGAGGAGATCTCAGGGCAAGGCTGGTAGACACAGGCAGACCAAAGGGAGGAGCACGTAATCCTCCCAAAAGACAGGTGGTTCCAGCTCAGGGCTGCACATCTCCTGCAGACTGGCACTGGTCAGGGTGCATTAGCTCAGCCTCCCAGGGGGTGAAGGTCCCCAGGAGGGGAGACAGAGGCTACAACTGACCTGATGTAGGTAGACTGGTCTCGGAAGGTATCACACAGGGGGTTTCCGTCGAGCCACAGCTCTTCTAGCTTCAGCCCTTTTACCTTGTCCAGCTCCCGCTCAGACTTCAACTGGCAAGGGTGGGCAAACGGCAGGGAAGAGGCACAGGTGAAAAGAGCCAGCTGGACCCCCACACCCCCCATCCCTACCCGCATCTTTGTGTTCCCACTCTTGCCTCTCACCATCACCAGGCGATCTCCCCCCAACCCTCTGCCCACCCCATCAAAAACAAAGCTGGGCTATCAAATTCTTACTTCGTTTCCAGAGAGGTTTAGGATCTTTAGGTTGGGTGCCTTCTGCACAATACTGGACATATCATCTAGCTTGTACAGCCTGTTGTTACTTAAGTTCAAGGATAAGAGCTGTGGGGAGAGAAGGGTTTAGAGGAAGCACCATCACCGAGTAGATCAGAGAAAAATCTGCCTCCCAGCCCTACCCTGTCTATCCCACCCCTCTTCCTCGTGCCTATTACAGGGCCAGAGGTCTCACCTCAGGGATGTTCTCTTCGATGATTCGCAGGGTAGCTGCCATACAGCTCTTTCGATTCAGGACAACATCGATGTTCTGGGCCACCAAATCTTCAGGAAGCAGAAAAGCAGGGAAGGGCAGTCTGAGCGTGCTTGCCCAGGCCAGTGTTAGCACTAAACCATCCTCGAGTTTTCCCTCCCTGACAGATCCCCCTCTCTCCACCTATCTGAGAATTATCGACCGTACCTGGGTCTGAACGGAGGCCCTTGAGGTCAAGTGCTTGTTGGGAGCCATCATATCGTTTGCTCATGATCAGCTACAGAGGGAAAAAAGGGTTCGGTGGGGCTGGGGTTGTGGGGGGTAGGGTGTGAGAAGTGGTAAGACTGGGTTGGAAACACACCTTAGCTGAGTCTGCCTCACCTTTAGCTGCTCTACTTGTTCTGGCTTCAGTTCGTTCTGTACAGTGTGGGGCGGGGTAGAGGAGTTGATGATGATAGATATCTGGAGGGAAGACACAAAGGGCACAGTAAACTCCAGGGATGTCTAAGACCCAGGAACAAGACCCAGTCCTTGCCCTGTGAAACCAATCCCCACCCCCAGCCAAAATAGGCCCTTTACACACACCCTTCGATTCTCCCGATCCAGAATCTTATAGTTGACAGCCTTCAATGCAGAGGCAGTGCTGGCATCCTCAACAAAGAACTGGGCCCGTGTGTTCTCGTAATGAAACTGCAAGAGGAAACAAGAGCATTACACTGGGAACCCAGAGCCCCTTGCCCAGCCAGCCAGCCTCTCAGGCTTTGTCTTACCTCAATGGGGGTGAAGGGGACACTGCACTTGCTCTGAATCATGCTCAGGAGCCATGACTTGTCATACTTTCTGCCATAAGGAATCTAGAAATGAGAGAAAAAGAAAAGAAGGAAACAATCTGTAACTAAGGCTGAACAGCAGACACAATCCAGCACCCCTTTTTTACCTTCTGCTAAGCTTTAAAAGATTTTCTAAAGACAGGGCTGGGCACAGTGGCTCATGCCTGCAATCCCAGCACTTTAGGAGGCCGAGGCGGGACGATTGCTTGAGGCCAGGAGTTCAAGGTTACAGTGAGCTATGATCATGCCACTGTACTACAGTAGCCTGAGCAAGAGTGAGACTCTCTAAAATTTAAAAATAAATAAAAATAAAAATTCCAAGATGTTATTTATACCTTGCCTGCTCCTCAGAGAACTCCGGGGACTCCAAGCCTCACACTCTGCTTGAGCCGAATGAATACATGCAGAGGAGTTACTCTGTGTCCCAACCATAGATATCACATTTCCCTTCTGCTCCATCCTGCATATCCCCTTCTACACCTTTCTCTAAACCTGTTCTTAGGTTTCTCTCAACTATTCTAAGATATTGATTCTTTTTTTTTTTTTTTTTTTGAGACAGAGTCTCACTCTGTTGCCCGGACTTGAGTGCCATGGCATCAGCCTAGCTCACAGCAACCTCAAACTCCTGGGCTCAAGCGATCCTCTTGCCTCAGCCTCCCGAGTAGCTGGGACTACAGACATGCGCCACCGTGCCCGGCTAATTTTTTCTATATATTTTTAGTTGTCCAGATAATTTCTTTCTAATTTTTTAGTAGAGACGGGGTCTCGCTCTTGCTCAGGCTGGTCTCGAACTCCTGAACTCCAGCATTCCTCCCGCCTCGGCCTCCCAGAGTGCTAGGATTACAGGCGTGAGCCACCGCGCCCGGCAAGATATTGATTCTTAGGAGAAAAGATGGATACCTGATCGTAAACAGATGAAAAGACTGATTTTTGTGGAATAAAATGTACACACTTTCACTGAGCCAACTCCCCTCTCCCCCCTGCACCATCTACCTTCCCAAAGTACTCACTGTAATCTTGAACCAGTTCTTTGAGGTCCCATCCTGGCTTGTGCCAGCCCCTCCTCTCTCTGGAGGAGCTCTGTCTCTCCGCACAGTAACATGAATGCGATCTCGATCATGCCAAGTATCACCTCGACGGTTAGGTCGGGTGGCATAGGGGTTGCTGTGGGGAAGCAGAGAATAAGATAGCCATAAATTCTAGGAAAGTCTTCTCTAAGACCTTCTTGCACTGTCAGTGGGACTACAACTAAGACTGTTCAGCCATTAAGCTGGTCCTGGCATTCTCACTCTTCCAGGTGGGAAGAGAAATGACATGGACAGTAAGAGGGCCATATAATCTAGTGGGTCACTAAATTCAAACCAGACCAATCGGTCACTTACTATCGTACTCGGGGACCATCCTGTACATCACTCATTGCTACATCTCCATCATCTTCCTCAAGGCGGGAAGACCGAATACCAGAACCACCTCTTCCAGATCGACGGTTTCCCTCACCATATTTCCACCGGAAAGGACCCCGGCCTTTCTTCCTTCTTTGAGGGAAACTAACACGGTCATCATGCTCTGGAGTTGGAAACAGGAACACAAATTATTACATCACTGGTCTGGGTACTTTGGTGTGGCAGTTTCTAGCACCCTGTATTACTGGAAGAGATACTCACTAACTACAGAGACCAACTCCACGCAAACTCCTTCGCCTTCCCGGAGGAAAGAACCCTCTCTGTGGAATGGCAGCATCAGGGAAAAGCTATTGGAAAACTGTGTAGGGTTTTTGAAAAATGAAGTTGAAACTGGAACTACAAAGAGAAGTAAAATGTAGAGAGCGACCTAAAAGTGAAACTGGCCACAAATCAGGCCTCTGAAAGCCACCTGAAATCTGCCACTCCAGACTTTGTTTGTCCATGTAGTACTAATGCTAGTTACAAATATGACCAATTTAAGGGCCTCCCCCCACAATTTCCTTATTCTCAAACTGGCACTCTAAAGTTTTGTGAGGAGCTTTTCATGTCCTTGGCTAGAAATGCCCTTTAACTCAGGAGACACTTCTAGACTCAGGCTTTGGTGGCAGCTCCAAGGCCCTGGAATGCTCTCCAGGAATATGACCTTCTGACTCCTGTTGTGTAGGAATGGCTTTTTAAAAAAGGTCCATAACATCCACAAAAGGTCTGCCTAATGCCTAGTACTCTGCAAACAGTGAACCTCAACAAATGCCCTAGGAAAAAAGAACGCATGCATAGAAGGCCTACCTAACATTTGAGGAGAACTTTCTCCAGTGCCAGCCACGATGGTTCAGACACTTGACAGGAATGATCTTGTTTTAACACACTCACTCACACACACTCTCTCTCTCTCTCTCTCTCACTCACTCTCTCGAGAAATAGATACTGTTACTAGCCACATTAAGGGGTTGAAGAGTTGGCCTGAAAGTTTAACTCACGATTTAAACCTCAGCTGTCATGAGCTCCTAACCACCACAATGGACTAACATCCAGTGTAGTGTTCGTACTAGAACATCCAGTTGGTGTGTACGTGTACGTCTCAACTATTAAGCCAAAGCCCAGGACGAAGGGGTCAAAACCGACTGGCCGCGGTGAAAAATAGGGCACCAGGGCAGCCCACGAGCAGGACACTGACTCACACTAAGGGAAGAGTCAGGCCTGCCACACTGAACTGACAGGTTATTAACCACCCACAAAGTTCAAAGGCATCTCGACGCCCCATCTCCGAGCCACCTGCTCCAAGCCGCAGGTCCTCCTCCAGGATACCCGAGTCAACAACGCGGGTGCCCACCTCGAGTCCGGCTGGTCTCCCAGGGCTACCTCGCCCCCGTCCCGCCCCGCGCCGCCGCAGCTCCCCGCGGACGCCGGGCCCCTCGCGGCTGCACGCCCAGGGACTGCGGCCTACGCCGGCGCCGCCCACTCGGGCCCCAGATCGCCTGCTCCAGACCCGAGAACCCGCACTGACCGTTGTACGACTTCCCCTCGTCCGCCATGGCACAGCGAAGAGCAGGGGCGGGCTGAGGCGCGAGCCGCGTCGCCGCCAAACGTCCGAACGCCCAGGCGCTCAGGATCGAAGCTCTCCTACGCCGGGCGCCACCGCATTTATCCGCGAAGCACGTCGCGCGCAGCTGACGTTCCCAGGCTGGGGCAGCGGCGCGGGGAAGGAGCTCCGCCGCTGCGCGTGCGCACACTTTCGACGACCGCGCGCGGGGCGGGGCCCGGCCGTCCACGCCCCGCCCAAGGCCTGCGCTCGCGAAGGCGGGGCTCGAGGCCAGTTGGTCCCCGCCCCTTCCCACCCCTTCGCGGACGCCTCCGGCAGCTCGAGTTAATGCTGAAGCAGAGCGCAGGCTGCTGCAGTCTGGAACTGCGTGGGGAAGGTGGCTGCAGGAAGGGCTTCCAAGGATTGGGAACCTGGTCTCGGAGTGGGAGTGATCGCTCATAAACCCCTAGCGGAATCTGGGCAGTGTTCCTCAGCTCAGCTCCTTCCCAGCTGCAGACCTAGGCCCGGCTTTCCTCGCCTGCTAAATGGATTAATAATCACAAAACTGAACTAGAATGTGAGCTCCATGGGAGCAGGAACCTTAACTAATTCATGGCTTTTTTTCCTCCAGCGCCTGGCTCAGTATCACGCCAGCACATAGTAGAAACTCAACAGGCCAGGTGCGGTAGCTCACACCTGTAAGCCCAGCACTTTGGGAGGCCGAGGCTGGAATTGCTTGAGGCCAGGAGTTCGATACCAGCCTGGACAACACAGCTAGACGTCCACCCCTACAAAAAATAGAAAAATTATCCAGGCGTCGTGGCATGGCACACACCTGTAGTCCCAACTACTCTGGAGGCTGGGGTGGGAGAATCACTTGAGCCCGGGAATTTGACGCGGCAGTGAGCTATGATGATTCCACTGCACTCTATGCCAGGAAACAGAGAGAGGCTCTGTCTGAAAAAGCAAAAAGGCAACCCCACAAATATTTGTGAAATAAATTTGTTCTACACATTCCCCCCACAAAGAGTTGCTGAGTCAAATGAGACAGCATCTGTCAGGGCTTTCACGAGCACTGTCTTCACAAGCCCCACCCATCACTGGTGTGCCATGCTATCCCCGTGTTAATGGGGCAGAGAAGCCAGCCAGCAGTGGTAGACCACTCGAAGAGGTGCCAAGGAGAGAGGAAATTTTAAAATGCAGGAGCTATGGGCTCTCCCAGATTCCCCCAAAATACTAGGACCAGCCCGTGAGTACAGTGATTGTTCTCTCTATAGCTTGAACTTCCTTTGGGATGTGAGGTGGGGAGACTCCAGTGACCTCAAAATGGTGTGGCTGTGTGGTCCTGGTCAGGAAGGACAAAGCAGCATATTAATCTCCCTGGGGAGAGGGTATTCCAGCCAGGTCTCTCCTCCACTTCTTTGTGACTGGCTTGGATTTGGTGAGGGGCTTGGAGGGAACCAAGTGCCTCAGCTGAAGCTTGGAAAAAATTCTTCACTTTCTGCTCCTGGCAGCAGGCAGAGCTTCTGCCTCACTCAGTTCAAGGAAGAATTAGGGCGAACTGGTATGGTTGGAGGATGCAGATGAAACAGGTCCAAACACTGCTTGAGATGGTCCCGGAAGTTGCCACCAATCTGGGGTCCGCTCTGGGATCCTGCTCCCGTATTTGCAAGGGAGTTTCCATGCTAATGAGGGGTTGCTGCACTTGGTTATCCCCTGCCTGGAGGCAGCTGTGTGGACAGAGCCCAAAGCTGACTAGGTCAGCAGTGGGGCCCCTCAGAGCCATTAGCTCAACCCTTTCAGTTCTGGCAGTGGGCAGTGGGCCTCACTCCACTTGCTGCCTCGGCCCTTCGACGCTCCCACCCAGAAATGATGACATTGCTAGTGAGGCTGACAGTCTTGCTGTAATTGGGAGAAAACGGACTGCTGCACATTTGGCAGATTGAGTCACCAGCAGCCACTGTCAGGGGTTGTGCAAGCAGCTGAAGGGCTCAGGGCCCCCTGCCTCACATGGTGAAGAGAGGAAGAAGAGGTCAAGTTATAACCCAGATGGGAGAGTTGGTCCCTGGGACAGTTTTACTTCCTCTCCTCACTCACAGGAGGTGGGCAAGGGCATCATTTCCCCTTGCTGCCAAAGTTTCCTTTGGGAGAGGCTGGGGAGGGTTTATAAAAATTTCCTAGTGGAGACAACCTCCCCTACTGGTCCCCAGCTGGCCTCTGCTCTCTTCCAGCCACTTCACAGCAAAGTCTGAATCCAGAGCTGTGTTTTACGGGCCTGAGGATGCCGAGGGGAGGACGGGGTGGCCAGAGACAAGGGGTGGGAGATCACGGGCAGCGGCCATTCCTAGCAGTTCCAGGGAAGCAGGGCCTTTCTCCCCAAGTACCCCGCACAGGCTCAGTGGCAGCACTGGCCACCTGCCTTCCCAGGAGGGTCCCAAACCCCCACGGACTGCCTCAGAGTGAACAGCGTTCAGGCAAGGAAGACCACAAAGATGATGAAGAAGACAATGAGGATGAGGAAGATTTTGACCATGAGCCACCGGTTGGAGGTGACTGACTGGAAGTACTTGAGGATCTCTGAATGGGCGGCCTCAACATCCAGCTGGGCTCCTAGCACGTTCTCGTCGATCCTGGGGACAGGGCCGGGAGAGGAGGAAACAAAAGGACACTGGATTAAAAAGAATGCTGTTGAAGTCTATTTATTGACATGGAAAGATGGTCACATATGGCAGTAAACAGTGTTTCTATACAATATGATCCCATTAGTGTGTATATATACTTATGTATAGAAAAGGCTCTAGAAGGGTACTAAAAATATGTCTTGCTTCTGGTTTAAAAACCAGCTCTGCTACTTATTAGCTTACTAAGTTAGTCGTTCAACTTCAAATCTCATTTTCCTCACCTGCAAAATGAGGATAATGTCCCTACCTCCTCTCAGGTTATGGTCTTCAGTGAGTTAATATAAAGTCCCCAACCTATAAGAGTCCCCAAAATGTTATTCTAATTTTTGCTCATCAATATTTACTGGTTTTTATCTAACAAATATGTACTACATTTGTAATAAGGGGAAAAAAGTTCACAGACCATTACAGTCAGGAAATCTTGGTTCTGAGTGAAAAAGAAAGAAAAACCTAATGATATTGACAGAAGTCAGGGGATAAGAAAAGCTCTACATTATTAGGAGAATGTGTCTCTCCAGGGTATAGAAAAGTCCTCAGAGGAAGGACAATCTCTTCAAAGATTACTGAGAAAAATGAAACATTCCCCAGCCAATCTGTATATGCAATCCTAAAAACCAAATACAAACCCTAATCTTTGCAAAGGAAGTCCCTGGGAACAGAGACCTTGGCAAGCCAAGTATGGAAAAGCCAGTGGGGCCTGGCAGTCCAGTTGTAAACTAAAAAAGAAGGTTGGGCCAGTGGCTACAAGCCCACGGTCCTGGGAAGGTGGGGAACATGGTCATGAGGACTGTGTCTCAAATACAGAAGCCTGAACTATAATTCCCTATTTATGTCACATAGGCTAACTAAAGTGTCAGGTTTTCTAGCTTTTGGCTATAATTACATCCCTCAGTGTGGGTACACTTGTTATCTCATACTGAATAATGCTCATATTGGCAATAGTGAATGGCTTTGCTTAGCAAAAATGGGTAAACTTGGAGCTTCCAGGTTGGTGAACACATTGATGTGCTGGGAGGGCAGCGTGCCCGGAGAGGCCACGGAAGCGCCAAGCTCCACATGGAGGTGCCGCTGCCCATACCTCGGCCTGTGTGTCTCTTTCATTTTGCCATTCCTGAGTTGTATGCTTTATAATAAACCAGTAAACATTAAAAAAATGAATAAACTTGATAAATGTAATCCGGCATATAACAGATTTTAAACAAGAATCTATGAATGAAAACTTACAGAAGGGATCTCTGGTGGTGAAAAAAACAGCAATTAATAGGATACTCAGAGGAAGTAGCAGAGAATTAGAAAATGAAAATGAATGAAGCAGAAAATAACAGCATGGGGTAAAGAGGACTAAGGAAAACAGAAAGGGAAAAGTATACATGGGAAGGAGGATGAAAGAACACCCATGGAGAGAGACAAAATTATAGAGGCAAGGAATCAAGCAATAAGCAGCTGGAATCTGCACAGAAAGGATGGATGATGAAATTGATGTGAGAGGATTAGAAGAGAGTATGAGAAGGTGGGACAAAAAAAAAGATTGAACCTAAGAAGACAGTGAGTCTAAGAACTATCAAGATTACTTGACCATAATTAGACCTGAGATTTTAGTTTTCTAAGTTTCAGTTTGCCAAAACTTTCTGACACAGAGTAATGGGGTCATGTTAAGAAGACACAGAAGCTGACTTGAAGTGGCTCCATATGGTCAGATTTAGGAAACCTGATTGTCATAAAGAATGATAGCCCAGGTGCAGTGACTCATGCCTGTAATCCCAACACTTTGGGAGGCTAAGGTGGGAGGATTGTTTAAGCTCAAGAGGTCAAGACTACCCTGGGCAACATATTCAGATCCTATCTCTATTAAAAAAAAAAAAAAAAAATCAGCCAGGAACAGTAATGTGTGGCTGTAGTCCCAGCTACTCAGGAGGCTGAGTCGGGAGGATTACTTGAGCCCAGGAGTTCGAGGCTGC